CAATGGTATTTTGTTGGAGTGTTTCTTATAAAGATGCTTTATATATTTTCAGGGTCTTGCTATTCAGTTGGCCTACGTGATAATCACTTGTGTGTGGAGAACTCCATGCGGCACCACTGCCCCATTTGTTATGAGGTTTGTCTTGAAATTTCCTTTGCAGTTATACTAGTAGGAAACTTTTGTCACGTCCTAACTAACAGGTAAAACTATCATGTTGTGTTCTGCAGTTCCTTTTCGACTCGCTGAAAGACACTACTGTAATGAAATGTGGTCACACAATGCACTGTGAATGTTACAATGAAATGATGAAGCGTGACAAGTAAGTGGAATCACTTTAATTTCATTAGTTTACAAGTCAAAAGACGATTATTTTGCTTGCTAACTCAAATTGGTTACATTATTCAGATACTGTTGTCCAATATGCTCCAAGTCAGTGATTGACATGTCCAGAACCTGGAAGAGAATAGATGAGGAGGTATACTTTTACAAAGATTTCAGTCATTTTTCTTTACAAATTTTTCTTGTCTTGGTTGAATGATACCAGTTACTTGGTAGCAATGAAGATTTCATACTAATTTGTTGACATTTTCAAACTGCCAGATAGAAGCAACAACGATGCCTGAGGATTACCGGTTCAAGAAGGTACTTACTTTTCATCCTTGTTCAGGCCTACCTATAAAACAAGGCTAGTCTAGCTCTAATACCAGGGCGTGCCTTTTCTCTTTGGTGTAAAATGCAATGTCCCACTAATCCTGAACTCTTTATATGTACAAGTCTAAGAAGCAATGATAATTTGCAGGTATGGATCCTGTGCAATGATTGCAACGACACTACCGAAGTTTACTTCCACATTATTGGGCAGAAATGCAACCACTGCAAATCATACAACACCCGCACGATTGCCCCTCCAGTTCTTCCTCAATGACCATGGTTCACAATATATCCAGTCTGGTAGGCGCAGTGAAAAGCTTGTACCGTTAATGAACAACGTAAATGGGGATTCGGTTTTTATCCTCTCAATTGATTCTGTACCAT